AAAAGCAGAATATTTCACATAAATTGAATCCTGACAAAAACAAATAAGCAGTGATTATTTACCATCTGTGCAATTATTTCTCTTTAAAAAGAGTCATGAAGCTGTCACTACCTTGTTGTAGTGGTAATTTTAAATGAAGTAAAAAGCATGTAAATTGTACCAATTAAAAAAATACATAAAGTTATGCACATAAACATCATTTTATATAAGATATGTAATGTTTTTACATGAATGAGGGATACTGAAAATTTGTTGACAACCCACTTACCAGAATCTGACTAAATATTTAATTTTTTTTCTCTGTGGAAGGGATTTTTTTTCTGAGTCAAGAACACTATTATAATAGTCAAGAACACAGTAATATAATAGTAACAGTTTTTCTATGTGCTGTATCCTTTCAGGATGTATGTAATTTTTTTTTTAACTCTCCACAACTTCCTGTCCTTTGTAGCCCTTATTAAAGTCTCTTTTTGTTGTCTCTCCTAATCCCTGTTCTGCCAACCATTTACACAAGCTCACTCAATATTCCCTGTGAGTGTCAAATTTTCCAAGCCCCCTTTCCTCATTATGTGCCATAGAAATTTCAACTGCCTCTTTCTGATGCTACATATAAGTGTGCTTTTTGTTTCCATTTTCAATCCATGGTATTCTCAAAATCCTTCTGTAGAACATTTATGTTGCTTTGTCTCCTCTTATTCAGTGCCATATAGTAGTACTGACATTACATATATACTAAATGTAACAATTCTTATGAAACAGGCTAAGAAAACAATCATTTGGTCTACTTAGATAGTTGCATATTTTCTATTGGTGATAAGGGTCAGTGACAAAAAAAAAGAAAAGAAAAAAAAACAACACAATTTCAAATTGTTATTTTCCAAGTAGCTAAGCTATCCTCATTTTGTATATTGATATAACACAATGTTCTTCACTGCTAACTTTGTGCACTTTCACAGATGAGCCAATGCATAGCCATTATAAACCAGTAACCCCATAAGTGACTTTTTTGACCTCTCTCGGTAGAAGAGTGCCTCCATTCAGAAAGTATCATAATGGTGATTAGCATTTGAGCAAAGGTTCCATGTTGATTTTCAAAATAAGTAAATTTCTTCTTTTGTGTCATACACATTTTTTAAGCAACTCAGTTATAAACAACTGAACTCAAACTTGACTAAATCTTAACCAACTCCACTACTCATATCAGTGTGGTTTAAGTAAATCCTAAAAAGTAAAATTAAAGTAAAATAAGGTATTTAATAATTACTAATTAAATACATTATTTTATACTGTATTCAAGAATTTTAACAAATTTAGTTATATTAAAATGTCTTTTTTTCTATTAGACCACAGCATAAAATATTTAAGCAATAATTTAATCAACCCAAGTCCCAATCGTTGCACCAAAATTAAGTGACTAGAGTACTAGTCAAAATACTAACTTGCTTATTAAAAAAATAAATAAATAAATAAATAATAGCATACTAATACTTAGTATGAAGTTGTTCCCAAAAGAATACTGCATTTTTAGCAAGGATAAAAATGCATTTAACTGCAACAAAAATTCAATTCATTCATCAAAAACAAAATCCTTATACCAAAAGCTGTCTATGAAATTAATTTTTCTGCTCCTTGACAAAAAGGAATTTTAATAATTTTTGAATTCATCTGTTCTTTACAATTTAATGATTTTGTCACTCAGCATATGTTCCAATGATTTGAACAAATTTGAAAAATTTGTTCAAATCATAAAAATCAAATGAATACAAATATTTTATTAACCTAATGACTGATTTTATTTAGAGTTCAAATTGTTATTTTCCAAGTAGCTAAGTTATCCCCATTTTGTATATTGATATAACACAATGTATATAATTATAGCTCATACACTTCTAGATGAGAAAGCTGATAAAGATATACTTTGAAATTAATTTTGCTTGTATAACATCCACAATTACCAAAAGTACATATTTTTAAACTTCATATGTCACTACATTCGTAAGTTTTCAGATGAAAAAACATTTTTGAAAAAATATTTTTTCAACATCATATACATCCTTGCCAATGCACTTAATTCAGTAATGAATATTAATCACATAGATTGAACATTCTACAGTGAAACTTTGAGATCAAAATTCAACTCGTAACTGTATCAAGCGACATACTAATTTATCCATTCTTATACTTAGTACTATCATTGCCCTGTTATTTTGGAGAATAATATTTTGTGCTGATTAAAGCTGGAGATGTTTTTGTATAAATTTTCACTCCCAGCACTTGCAATAAAGATCTGTTGCGACTGTTTTGCCATCTCTCCAAGATTTCATGTGGGAAGAGGAGTTTTAAATGCTGACAAAGGATTTTTTTTTGTGTGTGTTTTGTTTTTCTTAAACATACCAGATTCTTTCAACAAAGTATAAAAAGGAAAGACTTCTTAACAAAAAAAATAAATAAATAAATAATTAAAATTAAAAAAATAAAAATATTTTAAAAAAAGGAAAAAATATAAAAAGAAAAAAAAAGGAAAAAAAAGAAAAAGAATATAGATTCAAAAATATCTCCTAGGTCCTGTGTAGTATATGGTAAGGCTAATATTTACCCAGAGGCTATGGACAACTTGACAACTTGTAACTGTCCCAAGCTTAATTATATGTAAACTTGGTAGGTACATACTAAACTTTTGTCATGGATAGTACAAATTTATATTTCTGATAAATAAATTTAACTTTAATTATATTTCAATAGGATTTTATTCCCACACTTCAAATACAAAAAAAAAAAAAAAAAAAATCCTAGAAAGCTATAAAATTATAGATGAGAAAGCTGATAAAGATATACTTTGAAATTAATTTTGCTTGTATAACATCCACAATTACCAAAAGTACATATTTTTTAAGTATATACTCTTAAGAGATAAAAACTTCATATGTCACTACATTCGTAAGTTTTCAGATGAAGGATGAAAAAACATTTTTGAAAAAATATTTTTTCAACATCATATACATCCTTGCCAATGCACTTAATTCAGTAATGAATATTAATCACAGATTGAACATTCTACAGTGAAACTTTGAGATCAAAATTCAACTCGTAAAATCAAGCGACATACTAATTTATCCATTCTTATACTTAGTACTATCATTAAATAAAGGTTTCACAAATATATACTATTAGGTCAATAAAAGCTCCAATACATATTTAGTACTATCAAGAACAATCACAAATATATCTTTAGTATGATTATACACTTCAAGAAAAAGAATAAACAAAACATCTTCATAAGCAACAAAGAAATCACATTTTCTCACTCCAAAATGGGTTTACAAAAGACATCAAACCAATTTGTTATTAATTTTGTTTAATTAATCTTAATTCTTGTTTCTTTTATTGTTGTCTCCATAATAGTATTTTTTCTCACATTCTCTAACACTCAATAATCCCTTGTCATAGTGGTTTTATTGCCTTGCTTCAGATGAAATGATTAAAATAAATAAATAAATGCTTATAATTTTTTTTTTTTTTTTTACTGTGTCAAAATTTCTTTATAAGTAATAACTATAATGAAGAAAAGTTGCAAAATATCACAATCTTTTTAACACTTTCTATGATTTAAAAAAAAATATATATATATATATATATATATATTGGATATTTCCAATAACAAACCCAGAAATTTAAATTGTTGAATTTAGATTTTATATTGCAGTTGATTGGCAGGTCACAAGCTTCCCACTTGGTTGTAAGAATAGGAATGACATTTATAAATAGAATATAAAAACGTGAATAGTGCTGATATAAAATCCAAAAGAAGTTAATAAAAAATTCAGACTAGTGTTAGAAGATATCTAATTAGTAAAATAATCATTATTACAGTAAGACATGATAAAGTTAAGACACTATAAACAGAAAACTTTCTCAAGGAAAAAAAAAAAAAAACGAAAATTGTCCCTGACCTAGTCTAAGGTCCACTGTCACAAGTTGCATAAAATGTGAGTATAATAAAGAAAATTATTCACCTCAAAATATCACTGTATGCATACATGCACTAAAAGTACTACTGATGCCTTAAATAAAAAATAAAATATTTATTATTTAATATTCATACTTGTTAACATACACAAACACACATCTCAGCATGTACATGTGCATGCACCAAATAATATATTACTGATGCATTTAACTTTTAAAAATATTGTATTTAAATTTAATATTCATGACACATGAATACAAGCAATGAAACCTGTCTGATTAGGAAATGTTTTCTCTCATTAAATAAAAAAACCTGTCTTATGTTCTCATAATAGAGAGAATATGAAATTGAAAATGACATGAAAAAAAAAAAAAAAAAATTGAAGTTCCAATCAGCTGTGCAAAGAGATATGCAAAAAAGAAAAATATTTTTTCTTTAGATCAACCGAGGGAAAAATCCCACAGGTATAATAAACAAGAAAAATAATTACCTGGACGTTTTTTCTTCTTGCTCGCAGAAGTTCCCATTTAATATCCATAAAAAGCATAAAGTATCCTTAAAAAACCGGTAAACGGAGCCTATACATCCACAATGCTGGCTAGCGTAGTTACAAAAAGTAGCAGTAACTCAATGTAAAATTGGTGATCGAATGTAACACATGCAGAGAGAGAGACACACACCTACATAATGGGCATGATAGAAAGACGTGGTGAGCAAACCCAAAGGAAAATAATAAAGCCTTAGAGAACAAATCATGCCTCTCTAATCAGGGTTTGACCCAGTAGAGAGGGATCAACAGTAAAACTTAGCTTCATCAAAACCAAGTATATGAATGACAGACATATCATATGGAATTAAATATCCTTTCCCTATCAAAATACACATGCACAGATACACGGGTTTATATATGCAAGCACAAAGAGTCACAAAGAATTAAAGCGAGTGAGGGGAGGCAGGACAGAGGGACAATGGGTGAGGTTTATGCATAGCATCTTTTAGAATAGTCTGTCTAACATGTAATAAGCCATTATACTGCAGTTGTAGGGTTGATGTTGAGAGAGAAAGAGAGAGTAAATATTTGGAGAATGAATTGATACCATGAAGAGAGAGAGAGTCAGAGAAAGGAGACTTAGGGTATAATCCAATAGACAAAAACAAGAAATTCCTAGTAAGTGAGAGGGGGTGGGGGTAGCCCAAAGAGAGTTCTAAAGAAAGGAAGAAAGTCCAAAAGATTGAGAGAGAAGTTACAGAGAGAATAAAAATTCCAGAAATAAGGAAAAGAAAGTTGAAAAGAAATTAAAAAATAGAGCAACTATGGAGATGAGAAAGATAGTGGGGCATGAATGAGTGAGAGAGATATATGAAGGGAGAGAGAGGGAGAGACATGAGGGGAGAGAGAGGGAGAGACATGAGGGGAGAGAGAGGGAGAGACATGAGGGGAGAGAGAGGGAGAGACATGAGGGGAGAGAGAGGAGACATGAGAGAGAGGGAGAGACATGAGGGGAGAGAGAGACATGAGGGGAGAGAGGGGAGACATGAGGGGAGAGAGGGAGGGACATGAGGGGAGAGAGAGAGACATGAGGGGAGAGAGAGAGATGAGGGGAGGAGAGAGAGAGAGACATGAGGGGAGAGAGAGAGAGACATGAGGGAGAGAGAGAGGAGACATGAGGGGGAGGAAGAGAGAGAGACATGAGGGGAGGAAGAGAGAGAGAGACATGAGGGGAGGAAGAGAGAGAGAGACATGAGGGGAGGAAGAGAGAGAGGAGGAGGAGAGAGAGAGGAGGAGAGGAAGAGAGAGAGAGGAGGAGAGGAAGAGAGAGAGAGAAAAAAAGCAAATAAGATAAATCTATCAAAACAATCTTGAAATAAAATTATAAAAAAGTGTAGAATCAATGAGAATAATACAGATAGCGACAAAGAAAAAGAGTGGGTGAGTAAAAGGATTATAAGAGTTGTTAATACTTTACATTAACACACACACACATATATATATATATATATATATACACACACACACACACACACACACACACACACACACACATTTCTGACAATTCTAGTAAATGTTTTCAATGAACCTTTCTTTATTATTATAAAAACATTTTTCATATCATTGTTATCCTGGTTGTCTTTTCTTTTACAAATTATTTATCACATGTTCTTTTCATTTCAGCTGCTCTTGGTTTATCTATTCATAATGTTCTCGTTTATTTTTGTTTCTTGTGTAATCTCTTAATAAAGCCTTTATGACCAAGTTGGCCAGATTTGTAATGGTCAAAAAAGGTTTCATAAGCACAGCTATAGAAAGTAAAAACAAAGGAGAAATATATGGGACAAGTTGGCAACAAGCTAACAGGAGTAAATTTGCTTAATATCAT